GCATACGGTGCTGCAGGGATTTTTAGGTGTACCTCTTCGGGCTCTTGGATACCTTTTCTCCTTACATGTGTGCGTGTTCTTTACATCCTCAGATGGCTCTAGCACTTTCGTGACCACGGGCTGAGAGTCTCTTGCTAGATTTTGGCATTTAGCAACTGACACACGGTTTAATGTGAAGACAACAACAACAACAACAGGCTGCTATAGTACAGCAGCAGTTGTAGCTGCGGTCAGATAAAAATTTGAATTTCGGGTCTCTCGCTTGCTCTCTCTCACCGTTTCGCACTCGCCCTGCACAGTGTTGCCGCCAGATCCGTCTACCCTTTCATCCACGTCTAAAGCTCGCAGCACATCAGGAATGTCGATGTTCATGGTTGTGTGTGCCGGAAGTCAGTTGGTAAGCTCAGACAGAGGGAAGGTGCTTCTCTGGCACAGCAAGCGGAGCGCATCGCGGGGGAGCGCGAAGTCTACAAAAAAACTGTCGGTGGAGGAGAGGAGAGGGGAGAGGAGGAGTTCGTTGAGAGAAGCGATTTGGAAGCTGAAACTGTCGAAAATATATTCTCGACTGACGACGGAGAATCCTACACCGCGACAGCAAAGGGGATATCCTACCGCAGACAGCCCCTCGCTCGGCTGTAGCGAGTAACCTGTATTACCGTAGTCGCACCTTAAGGTTGCCACGTTTCAGGGGGTAGGCTGCATCAAGGAGCGTGCCTGCTCTCTCTCTCTTTCTGGCTCTGGCTCTCTGGTCAAAATATGTCCACGTACGAAGGATCGAGGCAGTTCCTGCAGAAGGAGTCGAGCGATGGAGTGTCGCTGTACACTCACCTGGCGAACGTTTTACTGAAGGTGCGTGCGGTCCATGTTAGTGGCGATGTATTTTCAAGCGCAACGTTGGAGGCTGTCTGTGTACGATTGGCAAAAACGATTGATTTTTTCGTTGAATTTTCGACGTGATTCTAGAGCACGGGATGCCACTGCCCATGCCCCTTGGCCCAACTGCCTCTCCTCGTTTGTTACTCAAGTCTCAAATTACGTTTATGTGCTCAAAGGACGCCGTCCTCGCGTGACATTAGACTACATTTTAGAGTGTGCCCACGTGGGGGCGATTTTTCCTTTTGCACGTAACACGTGTTGCGACAGCATGCCAACCCTGTCGTGACCACACGTCTCCATCAAGTTTCCTGCTGCGACAATGGGGCGTACTTGCGTCCTACGCGTGGTCGTCACAGCCTGTGATGTGTGCTCCTGTGGATGATGTCGTATGGCTGTGGCACTGGGCGGCACGTATCGGGTGTTGCGGTGGAAATGGCGAATCACCTCGCTACAAGGCACAAAGCGTCACATCGCTAATGCAGCACCCTACAGCATGTGCCTGGCACAGACCTACATGTATCACGTTCATGTACCTGGCCCACTCCGTCAAGTTGATCTCGTGTGATGGACCAGTCAGTGCGATGTGGGCGCTGCGGCCGGGCATTGCTGTTTACGATGTAGAAGTATAATACCTTCCACACGGCTCTACGAATGGTGCATCCTCTCATCACATTGAAATATCGTGTGTACTGATACTGCTGCTGCTGTAGACAAACTCCGGTCCCAAACGAGTCGACGCCAAATCACCGCTGTAGTCTACACGGCAGACTTCTGTGCACAACATGCACTGACAACATGCACTGTTAGTGCCGATCACATCAAATGGGTCCGTACAACGTATGGCCTGTGGCGGGACATTGCCGTGCACAGTACATACGACCCAGCTCCACGGATCATGCCTATCTTCTCATCATTAATGCATCAATAGTTATACGTACAACAGCTGCTGTAGACTCTGACCGAAGAAAAGATCGACACCGACTTGCTGTATACACGCGTGTTGTCTCGTCGGCGGCGAGAAAAGTAGCATCGAGCAGGTAAGAAGCATGGAACTGCTGGTAGTCAGGGTCGAAGGCCACGAGGCGTCGCCGTCACAGCCGAATATCTCTTCGAGTACTGCCGAACCACGGTGATCATCGTTCTACACGGTACCAATTGTGTGCAAAACATTTCCATCGATGGGACGAGAAAGACGAAAAGTCCTCAATGGTCTTCCCCCCCCCCCTCCGCCC